CATGGTGGAGTCCTGCCTGCCAGGAGGCACGTAAGGCTCAAAAACGGGCCTGGGATACCTTCTGAAGGTATCCCTCTCTTTCTAACTGCATTTTTTTTCAGTTTGCCTGTGCCCATGCTCGGCAGGTTCGACATCAAAGCCAAAAGGAGTCTTGGATTAAGTTCACTACTAGCATCTCTTCTACCACCAGTTCCAAAACTGTATGGGACAAGATTTGGAGAGTCACTGGGAGGTATGCTTCCCATCCCCACACGCTCCAGGTCCCTCTGCTTCCTGACTTTGAAAACCTTCTCCTTTGTGCCTATTCCATTCTGGAGACCTTCATAACCAGGCATGTTACACATTCACTGCACATTGTTACAGGCTGTTTTCTTGATGAGACCAGTTCCTATACCCAGAATGGTCTTTTTATTGATATACTCTTAACCCACTACTCCTCAATTTAACTCTCTCAACATGCTCCACTTTTTGAAAAACGGGGCTACCCTACTTCTCTTCTTCATCACACTGAATATAATCTACATACTAACAATGAACGTCTGTATTTAGCTTTCCAGAAATTGCTTAGCTTAAATCATATTAGTAATTATAACACCAACACCATAGACAATTCATAACTTCCAACGACATGTGTCCAACCTCGCTTCAACCAACTTTCACATCATAACACAGGACAATACCATCGGTAACATATTCCCTAACAAACCTGTAATTTCTTATAAATGAGACACTGACATTAAAGATTTATTCATTCATAGTTAACTTCCGAACAACATACAACTATCATCTGTTACTCAAGTTGGTGCATGAAGTTGTTAGAGAAGCAGATGCAACATTTGCCCTTACATTAATCATAGAACATCTGTTAGAAGCTCTAAATCAACATATTCTGTGAATAGCCATTTCACCTGTACACCTAAATGTTTAATTTATTGTATTATTAGTAACAACTGGGAACAAATCTACACAGGAGAAATCTGTAGCTCAGCACTTCAACAAAGCTGATCATTCTCTTGAGCACTTTAAAGTAATTGTCTTACGTCATGCCCCCTCCAACATCAATAAAAGAACCACAATTGAAAAAGAAATAATTTTTAAATTGGGTTGTTTAAATCCTTTGAGTATTAATGAACAGTTCAGCTTTGTTATATTTTTTCAAAGTACCCTTCTTTTATTACTTTAAAATATTCAAGTTTTTTTTGTATCTGAAGTTGTTTTATATTTCCAATAATTTTAATACTATTTTTTAATCACAAGCTTTATTATATTGTTTTTACTTTATTGTTTAATTCTCCTAGTTTTATCTTGTGTTACATTCTGTTTTTATGTATTGTTTCATTTCAAAACTTTCCTGTAATTGTCATTAACCAACAGGCTTGTTTCTGGCTTGAAAAAGAGGGTTTGCTTGAAATGTCACCAAGTGACTAAATTACTATCACAGTTTTTAAAGGTGATTTCTATTTAAAAGTCTAATTTCTTTATCAATTTCACATTTCTGCTACTTATTTATTTATCATTATAGTGGCCTATTTCTACATCTCTGGATCCTGCTCAGTGGTGAGTTGTGCTTGTTCAGGTATACTTAACTTTAAATCTGCACCATATGACCTTACAGGTCTATTACACTCATGATGGGATAGGATGTTCTACAAAGCCGATAGAGGGTTCCTTACAGTATCTTGCTTCCTAAATAAGGCCTGTATCAGTTTATACCAACTCATGGACTATCATGAGTAAAGCAGAGTTGGGGTCACTGACCATCCCTCTGGTCTTAGTTGAATAAACCAGGACTGGCCTGCTTCTCAAAATAGAGTTTTTGTGATAACCCATTGCACTGTCTTGTGGTGTTGCTTTTCTCTAGACACTTCACCACATTATGTTTCTCTATTCCAACGGAATACAGTAGTCCTTTCCACTTACCAGTTCCTAGCTGCAGGAGGGGTGGACCATGGAGGCTTCTTCCTGAGTGTGACTGCTTCCACTCAGTCGAGAGTAGACAGATGATGTTCTGTTGGTGTAGATAGTGACTACTCTTCTCCTACCATGGACTGAAAAACAAATTCCCAATGTTGCCTGGTTTTTGACTGGATGGATCCACCACATACAGTTTACTTCTCCAGCTGGCTTTCCCCATCCTACTGCTGCCTGGGTATTAGTTCCTGAGTGGTCTGGTGTTGGATCAGCATAGGACCAGCCTACATACGTTTTTACTCATGTGGTTGGTAGGGGCTCTTCTATTGCAAACTAGATGAACAATTCTTGATGTTGCTTAGTTTTGGATTTGATGACCCACCACATTTACATTACCCCTTCTTACCATTATCTAGATGTCGGGTTCCCGGATGGCCTGGTGATTGTTGTGTACTGAGTATGCTTACATGTTCCCTGTCTTACTTTTTGGAATGGATGTTGCTTTTCCCCTCTGCTTCCAGGGCTTGTGGTGAAGATGGTTGGGACCCTCCTCTTACTGCTTACCAGATAACAAATACTCGATGCCACCTGGTTTGGATTATAATTGATCCACTGGTTATGGTTTGATATACCCTCGCCACTCTACATCATGTGGTACATGCTATTACTGATTGGAGTGGCATTTGTTTTTTCACAATTTCATGACACATTATTTTTACAAAGAGTATACCTGGTACAGATGGGGTGTGGTCTCCCTTGAGTGTGGCCCTATAGATTAGGGTATCTCATCTCCAGGGGTTTTCCTAGGATGCCTTCTGAAGAATGCTCATCTAGGTAACTTTTGCACCAGTCTCTCCACATTTTCAATGTGAGATTCTAGCTATTATGTGAGCAGATGTAAGGTATTGTACTGGAAGTTGACATTTTCCTACACTGAAAATGTATATTTTTGATTGATACTTACATCTTCTCACACTTCCCACCCTTCATTCCCACTTCAGGTACATCTTTTTTTGCCTATTCTTGAAGTGATGATTGTGCTCTACAATATAGAAGGAGTCAGCTGCACTAGGAGGGTATTTCACACTTATAGATGGAGGGTTGTTGCGTGCTCATTTGCATGCTACAAAGCAGCTATACCATGTGTACACACATGATGTTAGGTGGGAACCTCAAGGCAAGCAAAAAATTGAGCATATAGAGGGCGTCACAAGTTGAATAAATCTATTAGGTGAGAAGAGGTAAATATCTATCAGAAATACATTTTAAGTTAGGAAAATGTTAACTTTAGATGAGTGTATGAAACGTGTATATTTGGTAGTAACGTTTCTAGCCTGTGTCAGTCTGAGTATATTTATTAACGTACGCTGTAGTGGACATCACAGATATTAATCCAAATTGTGTTCATTTTAGCTGAAAAGCCTTGGTTCAGTGAAGTTTTGCCTGCAGTTATTTCACGATGCTGATAGCTAATAGAGCAGGTTATATTGTTACGTTTTCCATGCATGAATTATCAGGCAGTTTATATGAGACTAATGATATAAAATATGTACTGTTGATATGTGTATATATGTATATGACATTATACAATTATAGTTGTATGATATTGCATTTGTCATTTAGTCATAAAATATTGTTCATGAATGTTGTATTGTATATATAATTCAAAACTAAAACTATCAGGTGACAGATAAATAAGAATAAAGAACTTGATCTGAATGTTAAGATTGTTATATGTGAATTGAATCTGTCCTTGCTGACTAGCACTGCATCGTTGAAAGAATTTATGGTGTTCCTAATCTTTGCATTGATGTTGGGGAGAAAAAAATTATATTCTTTGAAATATTTGTTAGTGAGGAGATTTTTTATTGGAGAGCCTTACACTCCATTAAGAAAAAAACACTGTCACCCAATATTTTCAGTAATATCAGTGAGGAATATTTTTAATTTGATGGAATTGAAATGTATAAAAGTGAAATCTGCTGATGTTAGCTTATGTGCCATGCCAAATGCAAACTTGGTGTACCTAGTGTTTTATTTGTTTTTTATGCATTATGGTTAATCATGTAGATTGGAATATTTTTCGTAGTATTTATTTTTAAGTATAGGTTGCAATTAGAAAACACAGAAGTGTGACTGTGGACCTAAAGCCTAAGGTAGAGTATGGCCCACATAGCTTTAGTATTCACTTCAAGTTGTACTATGCTTCTATTGGAACAAAATCATAAGGAAGTAAGATGCTTCTAAAGGAATCTCATGGTCAAAAGCTATAGCCCAGCAATTGTTTTTTGGCTAGTCCAATTTTAGTTGACAATGTAGGAAGCAGTATCTACTGTCTTACTGTTTCCTTCCTCATTGAAACAGAGTTCTGTTTGTATAACAACTTATAATGAAAGGCTCGTTTACATATGAATGAGAGCTGTGATGAATATTGTGATGTTTTTGAACTCCTCAGAATACAAGTTTAGATTGCATCTCCAAACTTACCATTTGGCAGTATCTTTGGTGTCCCAGTTACAGGATCCTAAGAGGATATTCTGCAAGCTCAGCATGCAGACACATCCGAGCAATTTCTTCAAATTTTATTACATCACATGGCTGTCTCTTACGCTTTTGGATTCCATTTGCCTCTGATTGTGATTATTCAAGCCAGATAGGATTCCTAGCTGACAAGTTCTTCTCAGTTTCCACTTGGGTTCACCTGTATTATGTGCAAGGTAATTCAGGTATAGCTGTATACCACTCAGCAACCAATTTTTACAATTATAAGGGTAAAGGTTTCATTCAAATTAAAACAAAGACAAAAAAATATTGTAGTCTCTCCATAGTATGGTACTCCTTGTTACAAATTTTATGAATTCTATCACAACTCTTGCATTTCACACATACTTCTGCAATTTTTCTAGACAAATTATGCTTTCTGCACTGTTTCTCTATGAGATGGTGATGCCCTATTGAAGTGGACAGAGGATGCCAACTAATTGCTGATACCTTTCCAACATCCATGTGCATATTATTGTCTTACATTATTTGAGCTCCCCAGTGGCACAGCGGTATATCGATAGACTTAGAAAGCTAGAAACTGGGTTTCGATACCTGTGGTGGGCAGAGCACAGACAGCCCATTGTGCAGCTTTTGTGCTTAACTGCAAACAAACAAACATTATTCAAGACCCCTGTTCTCTGCATGATGTCTCATAATTCTAAGCAGAATAAAGAACAACTTACATTTTTTAAACCTTGTATGTTGTTTCCATTGCACTGTCTGAGAGTTGTTCAGCCCATCCTTGGATATGTCTGAATTACTCAGTTCTTCTTGGATGCCTAGTGAAGTGGACAGCCTTTCATGTGAGGAGAAGTTGGATCTTAGCCCTTGAAACATATCCAGTCATTAATTATTACTGGTTTCTTCCTCCTAAGAATCTTCCACTACAGATTCAGAACAATGCACTGCACTCTGACCCTAAGAATGAGCATGGCTTCACAGATATTAACAATACCACCTTATTTAAAGGGTGTCTAGGATTATGAGTTACACTGTTGAGAAAAATTACTTCTTCTTGAGTGTCCTTATTTGGTTCACTCTATTCGGTTGGTATTCTCCTATGAATCCAGTCCATTGGCATTTACCATAATTCTACTGTTTTTTTTTAAAGCTTTGCCATTAATTTCCTTTGATTGTCATGGTCTGAACCCCACATTTGGTGAAACATTGATCCTTACCATTGTTT